GGTGACTGATACTCACATCACATGGCCATCGTTCACAGGTGACTGATACTCACATCACATGGCCATCGTTCACAGGTGACTCATACTCACATCACCTGGCTATCGCTCACAGGTGACTGATATGATATGAGTCACCTGTGAACGATGGCCATGTGATGTGAGTATCAGTCACCTGTGAACGATGGCCATGTGATGTGAGTATCAGTCACCTGGAGGCAGGACTCAAAAGCCTGAATTTTGCCTGAAACTGTCAGACTGAAGAAGTCTCTTGGAAGAGAGACGAAACGTTTCATTAAAGAAGAACCCGTCCAGAGGACCTATACAATTTTTTTTTCCTTTGATCAACCCTGATACCTAAAATTAACCATTTTTAGAAAGTGTAGGAAATTCACGCCAACTATGTGTTCCAAAGCCAAAAATGACCTAATATTCGCCCTAGACATCCTATCCCTGACCCCACTACCTAAAATTAACCATGAACCCTGATACCTAATATTAACCACGGACCCCAACTCAAAGACCCCTAGACTTTGCGTCCCAACACGTCAAACCCGGACGCCGAGGGAACATGGAAATGCCTGGTGCATCAATAAATGACGCGCCGGGTGTACCAAAATAAGATGAAGAGGGCACCTTGGAAAAGCGTCAATACGTGACGAGTCGGGAGTGAGAATGTGTTAGTTAAAACAGTGTTCCATGCAGGAAATACTTTGAAGAGCTCAGTTAGTATGTTAGCAGTGCTCAGCTGCAGCAGTGAGATGAGGAACGTTACATTTTGTGTTTAGTCAAAGTTAAACTTTGAACCGTAAAAGTTAATTACAACTGGCCCTTTGAGGGCCACCATAACGCTCATGTGGCCCTTGGTTAGAATGAGTTTGACACATGAAAAAAGAAGTTTGACATTACAGTTTTGGACAACAACAGGGATGTCAAACTGTGTATGTTTCAACTTGACGTTTGCTTTAACTGAAGTAGGTAAATACTGAAAAAGTCACCATTGCTTTATTGGAGTGTCCTCCTCCCTGGAACTCGATGGTGCCAAAGGCATCAGTGGGGCTGAGCTGTGTGTGTTTGCTGATCGACCACTTCTCCGACAGGCTGTCATTCTTGGCCAAACGCTCGGCCTTGTCATTCTGACTGGACGAGATGCCGGGCGGCAAACCCACATGCTGACCTATGAGACGACCACAGCAGCACCTGAGCGAGAGAAGAAAGCAGGATTTAATGGAAGACTGGCATATTTCACAGAGCTTTCCAGAAAATAATTGAAATGTTGAGACATCTGAGCCCCAAGCAAACAGTAACAGTACGAAAGCGGGGGGGGTTCCTGTGCAACTGAGAGTGACAGAGAAAAGAGTGTGAAAGCTGCCATAATCACATGTAAGAGGTGGGCAAGACTGAAATGGCAGCTTGTCATCTCACTTTCATCTTCTTATTGGGAGGAAAGACGGGGGGAAGGATTTGAGCAAAACTTCACTGGTTCTGTCTCTTTCTGTTTCATCCTTTTTAAACATATGTCTGTTTTTTTTCTCCCTCTCAGCAGCTACAGGACTTGGCAGAATGACAGTCATGTACTGTTCCTACATGAGTAGATGCTTATTTAGATGTGGTGAATGCTGGTTTGTGCTTTTGCCTCACAGAGCGGAGTGGGAGTCCTCGGAGGAAGAGAGTCAGGAGGTTTTGATTTTCATTTGATCTTCTCGTCATTATTTATTTTACCAAAGCTTCTTTTCCGCCCTCTGACTTAAGCAGGAGCACAAGCCTTATTTTTTTAGAAGGGCATCTCTTCCTCTACCCTCTTCCCTTAGATTTTGTATGTTTATGCTAATGTGTTGGAGCTTTGTGCGTTTCATTGTTTATCCAGCATTACCATCAGCTGTAGTTAAAACCATGGAAGACCATTGGGACTTTGGGGGAAAGAATGAAAAAGTACGTTGACAGATTCAGAGTAAACAACCTAGCATTGCTAGTGATCACACTATGTTCAGTACTGAATTTAAAGTTTATGTCTTACAACCACGTATCTCAAGACACCATAGAACACAAGTTAAATAAGAAAAAGGAGTAATTTTATTTATACAAAACATTTACTCTAAGAAATTATATTCATTATTTTTTTATGAAATGGAGTGAAAACAAGCACAGAATTAACAATGAAAGTTTCTACTTATTATCTTATAATTATTAACCAATTAAGAGTAAATATAAATGACACATGTCAAGTTTATAAGTGTTTTTATGCATTTCTACTCACCTATGGGGGTCTTTGGAACTCGCTATGATATGAACACATTCTCTCTTGCTGAATGCTCTTTCTATCCATGATTTCTGTGCCTGCAGAGGTGGAGACAGAAACATTCAGTCAGTATGAGCATGAAAAAATAACAGGTGAGCTGGTTCTGGATTGGTTACTGCTTGTTAACAGCCATTTAACTTTGGCCTTTATAAATAAAGCATATACACTTTAAGGTGTTGAAGAAATGTTCAAAAGGAAGCTGGGTAAAAAAACAAGTTTAAAATTAGCAATTACACATGCAAAATGGCTTTAGGATCAGCAAACAGAATTTCATTTTCTTTTTATATTGTGTCACACATCTCAAGTCAGACGAGATGAAGGTCTAGTAAAAGAGAAAATGGATGTTTGGTGCATCGAGGCAGTAAATTATGTGAGCGCTCGCATCATTTGCCACTTGCATGTGCAGCCAACTAAATCTACAGTACGTGTGCACATTTATATACAAAAGAGTGGGTATCTGAGGTAATGCAGGCAGCGAAAGTGAATTTGGGAAATTGGGACATGAGGCAGTGGCATCTGCTGCAGGTTTGAGCAACAGGGCGATCAAGTGAAGCCAATTATCCTGCTTCCGGCATGACCCGGATGACTTTAAAGAACCAAAGACAGGTGTGTAAGTTGCCCAGAAGAAAAGGTAAGACATACAGAAAAATACATGCACATATTATCTTTTGTTTGAACAATTATACCATTTACTTCCTCTGTGACTATATTGAACTTTAATACAACAAGCTGCGCATTGAACAGTTTGAAGAGATGATCCATTTTGATCTTGCGAATTTTGGTTACAATAAGGTAGCCAGCAAATACAATTAAAAGTCATTAATCATCATCATTGTCTTACTGGACATTACTCAAACACACGTGCTTCTTACTGCTTGACGTTAACGTTTCGTTTCTGAGATAAATTGGGACATTAACTCTCTACTCTTTCACCCGAACACATTGTGGGTTAACGGTTGCACTTCCCTGGCTGACAACAGTATTCTCAGAAGTGTCTGTGTGAGATTTTTTTGTGGCAACATCAGAAGTCAAGAGAAGGGCCAAAATCTCACAAATGACTTTGACCAGCATGGCAGGCAGAACAAACATTGAGTCCATAGCAGAGGAAGCACAACCACAGTAAAAACAAAATGTCAATTTTTTTGTCTTTTTGCGCTGGGAGAGCTGCTACATGTCCTCTCCCAGTCAACAAAGCTGAGAGCTGCTTTCACAGGGCTTCCCCCCCTCACTGTCACAGCTACAACAACATCGGCTTCCATCCCCATCCGCCTGACTGGCCCTGTCACACCGAGGCACGCCAAAACCCACCGCAACCATCTACAACCAGGCCAGACCTGCACACTTACCCTAACACCAGACTTCCTACGATAAACCATTACTCTGCGGGGCTAGTGGGGCTGCTTTTTACAAATCACCCTGACTACGATGACTCAGCAGGCCTCAACTACACCCCCCCCCCCCACACACACACACACAGCCAAATTCTTTCTCTGTCATGCCATTGCTGTGTATTCATCCGCCACTTTCACATGACATGAAATAGACCCACTCATCTGAATGGGTGTTCTGAACTGTAATTTCTTTGTGCTCTGTACAGTGACCATAAAGGTTTATTCAATTCACTTCAGTTCAATCAAGTGGAGAATGTGGTACTTTTTTATACTCAATCAGCTGAAGTAAAACTCATTTTACTCAATTTCTGAGGTAAAACCTCTGGAACAGTACATATAGTTAATAAAAACCAATTCAACTATTTTATTATCTCTACCGTGGTTCCCTCTGACTCTTGCCCTTACCCTCAGCAGACCTGTTTATGAGGTTGCAAAGGGTAAGAGGAGATGGCGCACGGCCTGCACTCTGTAGTGTAATTAATATTTATTACTGCACGCGTGCACACACACACAAATATATACACACCAGCTGCTGAGCTCGACACTGGACTGACTCTTGTAACTGTGTGTGGGGCTTGTGTCCGTGAGGCATGACAGTGCAGCAAATAACCAGCATCTGACAGCCTGTTAGGGGTCTTGACTCCATTACAGTCAAAATCTGCCACCATCACCCTCTCATCCAGGCTCCCTCGCCCCCCACACCCCCACC